CATTTTTTATTTAATTAATAAAATAATTCCATAATTCCACAAATAATTTATTCATTATTTCTTATTTGCAAAAGGAACGTTGTTTTAAATCAATGAATTAAAAATATTGCCATTATTTGACAATATAATTTTAGCTAATGGTATCTAATACTTTTCCTACTTTTAACTAGTAAATAAATGAAAATCAAATGAATGAATTTTAAGTATCTGCTTAATTTTAACTAACAAAAGAATAATAAATAAAAAAGAGAAACCTTTCTTTGGGAATCTACCTAATTTTACCTAAATTAACGAAAAGCAGGGCAAACGAAAGTTAGTAAATAAAATAACGCAGTCTGAAAGAGAGCTCTGCTTTCATCAAAATTAACTGCGCACGGATTCTTGAAACCACCTGTGAGTCCGCGATACAACACAGAAAGCCCGTTTGTTTACGCGTTGGAAAATAAGTACGGCATCGAGTGCATCGCCGCGTTTAAAAATGCAACGGCTGGTACATGAATAAACAAATCAATACGTCAAACGTCGCGTCGGCAGGCATAACGTATGAAAAAATAGAAAAATGGAGGAAACGAGGAGAAATTGCCGCGGCTCGGCGAGCCGATAATTATAATAGCAGGAGAGAGGCATTCCCGTGATGACTTTGAATGCTAGCACAGTCATTAATTTCCAGTTCTTAAAATAAATGTGCAACGAGCGCGACGATGTATAGCGATGCTATATCGATTGTATGACCTTTATTGTAACGCTACGACGCCCTGGAAAAAATGGGAACATCGATGACAGAATCGCAATGTTCGGGAGTTCCGTGGCAGTCCCACGCTTTTCACTTTCTTTCGCAACACGTTGCGAACAATGCTGCATGCGGCCGAAACTAATCAGGTTTTGACAACCTGTCACGGCTCGCCGAATTAGTCACACCTGTACGCTGTAATATGTTTGAGAAATGGTTGACACAGATTCTGCATTCTGAATCCATTATTTTCTTAAATTACATCAATTTTTTTCTAAACCACCTTTTTATGTGACACAATAGATTGTTTACTTTAAAACGTTGCAGCTGATATCAAGACTAAGCTAAAACTTGATATGTAAAATAACGTTATATTTATCTATTTTAATGAAACAAAGCATGTGATAAAATAAAAATCGAAGCTATAAAATAAAATTATACTTTTCGGAATGAAACGAAGCATATGATAAAATAAAAATCGAAGTTGTAAAATAAAATTATATTTATTAGAATAAAACAAAGCATATGATAAAATAAAAATCGAAGTTGTAAAATAAAATTATATTTATTAGAATAAAACAAA